AGACGGACACCGGTTCCAATTACCACCAGTTCGAATTGGCCGTGTTTCTCCGGCCAACTCTCGAGGAATCTGTCTGCGATCGAGTCAAGGAACCGCCCAACCCGCGTACCGCCGACTCCTGCGATTGATATTCCTACGCTGCTGGAGGATCCTACCAGAGGATCTTTTGTTATATCGCAAGCGCAACCATCCTACTGGTGGCCCACAAACAAGGTACTCACAGACTGACCGACCACTTATTCGCTGTAAGAGTTTCTATCGTTAATAGTAATACTTTCATTGTTAGTTTCGTCGTGGAATATTTAACGATCTATTCAGATATACAGGGTGAATCAATAAGAACTACTATCTAAAATATCTCGTAACGAATTATTTTAGATAGTAGTTCTTATCGTTTCACTCTGTATATACAATATACGGGTCAAATTGTGAGGTTGCGCTTGCTGAATCTATCCCTTCTCCAACTGTACTCTCATAATGTATCATCTCTACCTAAATTAAAAGGAATACACAGATTTACAGCTAATACTAATCGAGGCAAAGTGAATGAAAATGAAATGGTCGAGGAATAGTGGAACAACAGTAGGGAGATGAAAGAGCGAAACAATAACTTATTCAACAAGGGTATATTTTACGTCACTTAAGCGTTCCCTAATGGGGGATTCCAAGACGGAACCAGCGCGAGAACAGCAATAAAGGGGAAGGAATAAAAACTTCCACCCCATCGAGGGATGATTCTCCCAAACCACAGCAATCAAAAACATCCCCGTTTCACGATGAACGAGCATCGGTAGAGACCCTCGGATCGACGCCTGTAACTTCCGACGACCCACGGACTGCGACTTTATTTCGGTCGGGATGATCGGCGTCATCGATTCAAGGCCACCGGTTGTACCTCCCTCATAACGCGAGCGGCCCTTTTCTGAAACTCCCGGAATATCAATAGAACGAATTCACCTCTCGAAAGGGAGTCTCGACGCCAGCCGTCTCGAATGAATTTATACGCCGCTTTACCCCGCCGAGCAGGAATTTTCGATGCCTCGTATACTTCGATCAGCCTTGATGCATTCGAGAAACTTTTATTCGACGGGCACGAGCTCGTGAATTAACGCCCCAGTCCATTTTGAACTTTCGTATCGAACCGATCCCAGTGCCGAATCGGAAAACCACGTCGAAAAATTGCTTTATCAAGATGGATCCCGTGATTTCCCCTTTATCCAGTTTTACTTCACAGAATTTCCCTTCCTCGAACAAAATGAGACACCACGAACGTGGATTTTTTATTTAGCTCATCCCTCGAAATTTCACGTTCTTCCAGAGCCGTTGAAACTGCCCTCTAAATTCAGTCCGGGATTCCTTTACATTCATTTGTCGCGGCGAGTTCCCCTCTAATAACTGTCTCGAAACCGCTTCAAGTTCTTCCGACGATTTATTCAAAGCTGTTAAAGCACCAGAAAAACAAGTCAACCAGGCGAGTCTTGTTGCGTGTTTAATGCAACGACGCGACTTTATTCGTATTGTAAGATCCCCCGGGCGTCGCACCTTGTCTCGAACAGTATCGCGATATCGATAGTAAAAGTGAAAAGTGTTTTACGGGTCGATAACTCGCAGTGAGGCTCTTCGCGAAATTGCTCGTTCGTTTAACGCTGCACGGTTCTCGCCGGAGAACTCGAATTTCAGCCCCCGCAGAAAGCTACACAGTTCGATAATTTATTTCTGTTCGTGCGTTTTTCATCGACGTCTCGAAATTTCTGCTGCATCATGTTGGCGGACTTTAGATTCAAAGAACACCTGTCGCAATCTCGTTCCACCTACACGTGTACGAAGTTCGGACGTACGTAAGTGGAACATCTTACGGGAGGTTGAACCATGGATATTATTAAACCATATACCAGAATTTCTAGAGCAGAGGGAGAGAGAGAGAGAGAGAGAGCTGTTAAAGAAATTCATGTCATATATGTATATACTAATAGACGACCAAACAAGATTCCCACTTCTTTAAAATATTCAAATAAATTTCACGTCGACGTTAATTAAAACAACAAAGATGGAAGAGGTGCACGAGTCAATTAGAGAAATATTCAAGGGAATGCAGTATCGAAGGATCAAAGAGAAATCTCTTCCCTCCTCAGCCTGGATTCCTTAAAGACGGCCGAAAGGTCAAAGACAAAGTACCCCTCGCGAGGAAGATTCGGTGGGCGGCAATTAAGGCGGTCGAAGAGAGGGATAACAGAAGTGATGTTGGAGGCTCGTTTGTCTTAATAAAGTGCGTCGAAGGCACGCTCCTCGCGACGGCTGACTTATGGCTGGTCATCCAAGTGAGCTGCGCCCTCTCCCACGGTCCACGCTTCTAACAGTTTTTCCTTCCTCATACCCGCGCGATGGTGGTTCCACGCGGTATTCAGAAGGGTTCCTCGGGTCCCGAGACCGTTAACCCCAGCCACCGAGTCCATCAATCGAAAGAGGGTTGGATGGTTAACGATGCCGAACATTCGTCATCGGCTGGTTCTTTCATCCCCTCCTGCTTTCTTCTGCCTCGTTTCACCCCATTTTAACTCCTTTCCCTGCCTCTGAATGGGGTTCCCTGGGGATGGAGAGATGCTCCAATTCGGAATTTTCTTATTGTCAATTAAAGAGATGTAGAGTTGTGGTAGAAGGAATATTTTCAATTGCTATTTTTATATGATTGCGATTCGTACTGAAATATTCTGTAGACATTTGTGCTGTCTGGGGTAGGTGTTTATTTATCTATAAACGATGAAGCATCTTTCGGAGTAATAATATTAAAAAGTGGTAGAAGCTAGTACGAGTAAAATGAAGCCGTTTTATTCGAAGCTTTGGTTTCGAGGAAACCGCCTTTGAAAATTCATCCGATCCACGTACATTCAAGTGGTTACGAGTAAGTAGAAACGGTAAGAATGGAACAGACGTGTCAGCCAGTTTGCACTCTATGTATATTAACCTTTCAGCTACGGCGGAACTTTCCGCGGAACTATACCGCTGTTCAGGACAGAATTGCCGCGAACTCCACGTAAACGACATTAGTACAGCGAACAGTATTTGAATTCTTTCCACTATGCATTTAGCCGTGTTGAAGAATAGATGTTGTACACGTTTTTCAACAGGTGATAAACAAGCGAGCGCACCATAGTCGCGTATCTTTGAAACGTGTCACTCAGAGGAAAGGCACTACAGTGGCGTTACAGTAGCGAAAAGGTTAAATAACGTCACATGCATTTTCGTTATCTTGACCTTGACTCTTTAAACTTTCTTCGAGCCAAGCAAATGGACTCCAAAACTGCAGGTACAGTGAAATTCCAAGAATGCAGATCTCGCTCGGATAACTTACTCGACAGCTGCCCTTATCTGCATACCCTGTGCTCGATTAACGACAAAATGTCCACGTCATATAAATTAATAAAAATGAACACGTCTGGACGAAGTTCACCGTTTCCCCGTGGCGATTTGCATTCCAGTCCGCGATGCAATTCGTCGCGACAATTAATACAAGGAAACTCGAGGAAGATTTTGCGGCCTCTGCACCCGTCCGTCCGCGGTTGCATAATTCTTGCATTAACCTTATACATTTATTCCGGCCCCTTAATGCGGAAGTTTATTTCAAGTTGTCGCGAAGTTTGTTTAAAATGCTGCTGCCCTGACGCGCGCGCTCGTTTATGGAAATACGCGCCATTTTCTTTTCTTCCCGTGCAGACGAAAACCGACCGCGGATGAATATTCAGCATTCGACATACGTTTCTGGTCGTATTCGACACGGAGAATATTTCCTGAGAAATACAACTCTATAACGGATAAAATTAACTGTTACACGCCTCGAAACGTACGGACTTTAATCGAGAATTTTCCATTCCTCCGTTCAGTTTCTCACCGCTTCTAGGTCTTATTCCGACGTCCTCGCGAGCCGCTTAAACTCGGAACTTCTCCTGCCGCAAAACCAAGAGCTCCGGCGATTTGCATAAATAAACAATTATTCTCGGCGATTGTTTTTAAGTGGCGGCTGCCCCGGGGATAAATATCGGCCGATAAATATTCAAGATTCCCCTGGTTAAGGCTCGCTCCTTTTTTGCTCGGTTGGTCAGGCCACTCGGTCACCGAATGATTTATCATTTGTTTCTGCTCGAGGAACGGAACCGGGTCTCCGACGTGCTGCGCAAACAACCGCACCGCGTATGACTGCATTTCGCGACGACGACGACGACGTGTTTGACTTCGTCACCCGTCCCCGATAGCGATCGTCGTGACACGGGGGTGGATGGAATGCGGCCACCGCTGCGTGTTCAAGCGGAGAAACAAGAATTACGCGCGTCGACGGAAATCCACGGCGATTATCCGGCTCGGTCGTGGCCACGGAGAATTTGTAGTCCGCTTCGGTATGCGGTTCCGTCTCGATTCCCGTGTTTGTAATACCGGTTCGGGTAGAAAACCGGTGTTTACTTGATGGAGCTGAAGCTTCAGTTTCATAGTCTATATGCAATGTATACTTTATACTGTGTTCACTCGTAACCGCGGGGATGCTTCGTTAGGAGTTGGCGAAGAGTATTTGCCGAAGCCGTGGATATTGTAGTCCATGGGATTCGAATGGATAACGAAATGATACGGAACTGATTAAATTGTTCCTGAGACCCGATCGACTCCCGACTATTTTTTGTTTAAAGCTTGTCTAAGGTGCGTTGCTGTTCGTTGTAATTAGAAAATATTTCGAACTAAATTTTAATACCTCTCGGAATTTTGACCCTCTCTGAAAACGAAGTGTGCATGTAGTATGAATCCAACGCATCAGTCTAGGAAATGTCAGTAGATACTTTGTTGTTATCTGATATTCGTATCATTGTCCTTTGAGCATCGGAACACGAACAGATCTATAGACTTGTGTCTGCGAGACACCAAGAGATTCTTTTGCTATTTAGTGAAGAAACGCAGTAAGACACAATCTGCCAGTTGAAAAATGCTTTGTGGAACGTTCCTTTTATATTTCTGCGCAGAGACGTCAGTAGTATTGCCATCTGCCTCGTCAGATCTGGACAAAATACAGCAGCCAGTGAAAGTCATCCTCTCCAGCACGTGTCACCACGCTTACACCGCCTGCAAGTGAGTAAAAAAGCACACACTTCGAATTTCATCCTGAAGTTTCTTCCGTGTGTGTGAATGCAGATCCTTTGGACGAATTCGAAATATATATTTTTTTTAATTTCATGTCACATACTTCGAAACAATTTATTCTGATATCACTGAAGCAGTTAATGTTCTCTTTACTTTTTCGGATCAGGCTTTGTCAGTGACAGAGTCGAACAGTCGTGTAAGTTTACACGCAATGATTTCGGTCGCTTGTCGTTGTAGGAACGATCCAGACTGCAAGGTCCTCTTAGAGCCGGTCCTGAATCACTGCGATTTAACGAGCTGCGCAAGGAACGAGTGCATGGACGCTCTGCAGAACTTCTACAAGTCCGCCAACCACAAGCACTCCGTGGAGATTGCGTTCTGTCTGTGCAGGTGAGTTATCGATGACGACAAAGGAAGCTCGATCGAGAAACCCTCAAGACCATTTTGGCCACGCATGCCTTTTCAGTATCGATAGAAATCTCCCGGAGATCTTTGGGATCTTCGAAAGGCCTTAAACGCTTTACAAGCCGATGGAGGTTCTGAAAGGTCTTGGGCCTATCAAGAGAACCTATATAAGTAGATCTCTTGACCTTTAGAGGGCATCAAGGGTCTGCCAGAGATCCTTAGGCCCTGTGCGGTAATTGAAAGACCCCTTGGGAGATCTTAAGGGTTCCTAAATGAACTTGGATATCTTTAGAGGATGATTGAATACATACATGGTGTGACAATGTTATTCGACGAGTCAATTAAAATCGTTACAAAAAATCAAGCAACGAGACAACAAACGTGAGAGACTGTAAGAAAGTAAGAAGGGTCAAACGAGACCTCGTGGAACAAAGTTCCATCTACCGCAGAAATACCTCAAGTTCTGCATCTCTAATCACTTCACAGGTTTCTCTTTCAAAGAAGGTCCATTAACCTTTAAGTGGCTTTTGCTCGTCAAACAATGCGGAAACTTTTCACCCGCCTTACTCATTTTTCCCCCCTGTTTCATAGTCTGGTTTATTCTCCGTCGACTATATCTTTGTTCGAGAAGAGATCAAGTATGTCCCGTGAATCTGGCAATTTTTAAATAGATTTCCTCGATTCGTGCAAGCCCCAGTGCCGAATCTATTCTCACATTTTAAAAATTCGAAACGACTCGACTGCTTATTACGTTCCGAAGGGTCTAGTCAACTGCAAAAATTCCAAGCGAAAAGAAAGCAAGTCAGGAGAACGCAAAGGTAACGATAGTCGAACGGACGAAACGAGAAGTTCCGGGCGCAGGAATAAAATACGTAGCAGGCTCGTTTAATGCTCGTTGAGCAATACCTACATCGCGCTGCCTGTCTGCCTGAGAATTCTTCCTTTAAAACTCCATCGTACCTGGAACCAGCCGGATAGAAGTCTCTTATTCTCAGCCGACTTTCGGATGGTGTTTCCTCATGCAGTAAATCGCCGCGTCTCCTCGTTGTTTCCCAGATCGTTGACTCGGTGATGAATCGAATTCTTTTGCGGAATAGAAAATCTATCTCGTTATCGTTGCTGATTTATCAATCGACTAGCGAAAACGAGTCAATTCCGTTCTGTACGACGATTTTGTTTACAACAAAGGTCAACGAACAAATTCAGTGTCCTTTTTTTAACGATATGGGTTATCAAACAGAGTCTGAAACGCGTATTTGTGTTTGCTGGATCACTGACGGCCCGGAATGATGTTGGAACAAACTTAATTTCGCAGGAAGACAGATGGCAAGAAGGACGAGTGCATGGTGGCGCAGGAGAAAATGCATCCTGCGTGTGCGCAACGAGTCGAAGGCTCGTTGGAGATGCCAACGTGCCACAGCTTGGCGGAGGCCTGCAAGGAAAACAGGGGCTGCAGGTACGTCAACCGAGTCGAAATATTCATATGACACATTTTTTATTCATTACACACACGGCAACATTTTAATATAGCTTTCTTCCATTTATTCGACGCACCCGTACCGTTTCTTTGAATAATTTTTTGTCAATTAGTCTGGATACAAGAGTTTTCCATATTTCCTTATTCATCTTTTGAATTTGTACGAGTTATTAGGTCGTTGTCTCTTTATCTCTAAATGAAAAAATAGCACGTTGGCTTTAAGAAACTTATCCGAGAAAGAGATCACTTTCACACTCTCAATTCTTGTTTCCGATTCAATAACACATTGAGGAAACGAATCGTTTTCCCCTCGAAGATTATTATCAAGGTAAATTTCCCCGCGTCGAAGGATATCTAACTGCGATTAACGACACAGAAGCGGGAGCCGCGGGGACGCGAGAACGCGACTTCGAGATTAATAAAGGACACATTAAGATCGGAAAAATTAATCAGCGCCGCGGACAACGGCGAACGGTTATCGCGAGATCGTATCGTAGAGCTGGATAAACCGGATCTCTGATTAAACGCCCGCGAATCCCTTTCCTCTTTTTCTTTTTTTTTTCCTTCTCAACCGACTGCTGCCTCTGGGCTACACTTTCAATTTGAAAGTTAAATTGCAAGTCAACGAGACGTGGCTTGATCCAGTCCGGACGCGTAATGAAACAGTTTATTACTGAGAAAAAGACGTCCGTTCTCCTCCGCGAAATTACGGAAAACCGCTCGATCCGCCTCTAACCTGTGAGTTTCGAGTTCCTTTCCTGGAAGTTAAGGAAGAAGGGATCTGATCCACGGGAACGAGCCGTGAGGAGGAGAAAAAAACAGAACCTATTTGTCATGAGTCGATTAACGGATGAGAAGGATCTAATTAAAAGCGGTGACCAATTGGCCGGATCCCTGGAGGATTGAAAAGAAATCAGACGGGGCGCGACCATCCGATTGGAAATTCGGTGAGCGCGTTCATTGAAATTGAAAATTTCCCATTGGAATCGATTTAATGATATCGATCCTCGACGCCACCCGCCGATTAAATTACAATACCCGCACGCGTCGACACGCCACGGTTTTTTAATTGATTTATTATCGGACCCCGCGAAACGAATTCACTTTTAATCTGTCGGAATTTTCAGCCCCCCCCCCCCCCCCCCCGCCCCCCCCATTTCGTTTTTGTTTCTTTTTTTTTCCTTCACTTTTTCCGTCCATGGAATAATTTTGCCCGCGATTTTATGCTTGCCGATGTAACGCCGCTTAATTCGAGATTCCGAGCGGGAACATCAAGCGTTGGAAAGGCGAAATCTCGGACGAAATTTTGCCGGAGAATTTTCTTTCGTTTATCGCTTTGGAAATCCGCGAGGCAAACGAATTATTCGTAAGTTTCAGCCTTGACGTTTATACGATTAAGTAATTGTTTGTATACACGTTCACGTTTTCCAGAATGATAACGTTATTTTAGAATTGAAATTCTCAACTGGGGTTTTATCTACCATTCATTATTCAGAACTTTATACATATATACTGTACCGAGACTGAAAATTTATTCAGCAGAGTGCTTTCTTTCATAATTTAAACTACGCTGAATAATCCCTCATACATTGTACTGCTTCCACTGTAGTACAATTCACTTTCTTAACCTTATTCAACAATACTTGAAGATCTATACAGTTATAATAATATCATCAAATTCCGTGAGTCTGTTTCATCACCCTTGTATTCTGTATCAATTGTTTATACATATACTTCAGGTTACACTATACAATAGCTTGTCCTATCCCTAAATGAAACAGTTGGAAATTCACAAATCCCCGAAAGATAAAAACCTTGTCCTATCCCCTCAGAGAGCCAGTCCTTTTCGAAACATGAAAGCGGTCCCATCAGTCGTGTTTCCGACAACAACCAAGCGTTCGTCAATGTCGGTGCGTTAATTACCGTAACCTTGGGGATCTTTGTGTCACGCAGAATGAAGTTGGAGTACTACGAGCAAAGTTGCGCGGTGGACAGCGTGACGAAGAAATGTGCGGGTCCGCCAGCCGAGTGTAGAAAAGCGATGCTGGGAATCCTCGGGACCGAGCTACGATACAACTGCGCCTGCAAGGGCCCCGATCTCACGCAAATATACGATTGCCTCGGCTGGCAGAGACTTCTCTGGGTGAATCCATGTGTTGGTGAGTGACGTTCTCTCCTTCGTTTTCTTCTTTTTTTCACGCGTCATTTTTTGTTTTCGTTTATTTCATTTGTGGATTCGGCTACGAAACGAACGCCTGGCGTGAGTTTCCCGAATCATCGACGTACGCGAGTTTCGTCGACGTATGAAATCGTTATACAATTCGACGGGATGCTTGTTGAATGCGTTCGTACTGCCCGGGATATCATTGCTGCTCCCACGATATGATTTGATCCCTCTTTTAAATTATACAAGCTCCTATCTAGGGTTAAGTGTGTCCTCCGTTCATGTATTAACGGGACGAAGAGTTGCGAGTAACAAAACTGTAACATTCGAGAAACGATCTGGTTACGATCGCTGGGAAATTCACGGTTAAATCGAATTTTTTCCCCGCGAATCAGAACCGCGGTCGAGCTGGCATCCTCGTGTCATTTTGATCAGAGATCGAAAGCCTGGGAAGCCCCTTCTTGTCGGCTGGATTCCCCATGTTTGATAAAATCGTCCGACGGGACCAAATATTTGCCCGAGTGAGGCCACCAAACATTTCGTACAATACACACTGACCCGGTGTGCCGGTGATTAATATCAACGAGGATTAATATCACCGCGATGACAGAGCCGAATCCTTTGGGTCCCACCCTTCTTATGTTTCTTGTTTCTCTGTTCCCTAAAATCAAATTTTTGCTTATCGTAGTTTTTCCTTCTTCTAACCAAATACTACGTTCCCCTCACATTTTTTGTATCTTCAAAAACAAATGAGTTTCTGCGTTGAATTTCGAGTTTCGTCAATGCTCCAAAAGGAGTACTCCCGGCTGCCTAAATGCTAAGATATATTAATAACGTCGAACATGGACCTCTAAAGGACAATAATCAACTAGCTGTTTCACAAACGATAAATCCTCGTACGACAAACCGATCGAGAAGTAACCTTCACGGATCGTCCTTCGTGAAACGTTTACAATTCGTCGAGACAATGCCGGGAATTACGTGGACTCGTTGCTTTCATCCGGCCGGCGGTGCACGCCCAGGGAACACATAAAAGCGTTCATCCGCAGCAATCGTCGGAGGATCTCTACACTTCGTTACGGCCGGGCAGCCGATGCAACCCGCGTAGAATTGCAATTACAACGGTCGAAAGAACGAACGAACGAACAACACCGCACGACACGGTCGCGGCGCGTTTATCGATCTTACATCTGTTCCACGAGTCGAGTTGCAAAGCTCGACCGTACCCGGCATTCAGCCGACAGATAAGTCATTTAGATATGAAGAAAATTGCGCGCGCTCCGCCGCCGACGAAGTGCATCGCTGCGCCCCTTTCCCCCGCCCTTTTCAGCGCTAACTGCATCGACCGACTGGCTCGATCGCCTTTCGTCGATTCCCGATAGGAATATAGGTCGAGCGCCCGGGGTTTGACGTCCTCCTTCCGCATCCCCACTCTCCTCCCCGATAAACGTGATCGATGCAAATTAACGGTGGACCGGCAGCCGTCGCTCGAATTTATTCCGTTGAAATGCGAGACGCTCGAGAGTTCGGTTTGACTTTCATTAGAACGATTCGTTTGAATGATCCTTGGACCCAGGGAATTTCTGTTACCGCGTCTCGTCGAGAGTCGGGGGGATGCATTTAGACAGTGGAATATTAATTACCGGACTGAAATTACAAGACGGGGACTGCTCTGCCGCCACTCGAACGGTAACTCGCGAAATTTTTAATAATGAATAGAATATGAAAAGACTTCGATTGGTTGGATGATGGAACGAAGAATTTTATTGTTGAACTGTTTACTGAGAATTGGTTAATTTATTTTTTTGATAATTAGGCTTTAATCATCGGTGAACGGGCAGATTTTGTTCATGACTTTTTATATTTTCGAGTCAGAAGTGTTATGTATGAGTCATTGTTAGACTGGGGATTGTATGTATTTATAGCCTATAGGGCTACGTGGAATATTATAAAAAGGAAAACCTTCATCGGATGTAAGAAGTTTTATAGTTGAGTCTGAAGATGACAAGATACTAAAGAGGTAAAAAAAATGTCTACACTTTCCCCTTGTCTTTATGAATTAGTTTATAAAATATCATTTTGCATCAAAATCCATAGTCTGGTCATAATGTTATACTACAAAATATAAATGACCCCTCTGGAGCATAATAAGAAGCTTATCGCCCTCTAGAGGTTAACACTTCGATGTCGGATGACGTACTACTACGTGTTTTCAAAACAAAAGCTGGGTGCGGTGGACCTAGCAGTACGTCTTTTTTAAATAAGAACTTGAATAATAAAAAATAGATAAAAATCGCTTTTCCTATATGTAAAATTTGACAAATCAAAGTAGTAGTTTCTAAATATTTGTAGATTATCTGAAGTTGTATATCTGCGAACATAAAAACCCACCCGCGAGCAAAGTGTTCATAGCAGGCACAGACGCCCGGCGTGGTGGGTCTAAATTTTCGTTTGATACGCGATGTTTGGAAGAAGATTATTGTATTCGGTTCAATTCCGACCGGAGACAATACCATCGATCGTTTCAGTCGAGTCCCAGAAGGACTATCACGCACGCCGGAAACACCATCATTATCCGCGAACAACGACGACGACCGTCTTATCGACGACCAGGTCGCCGGTCAGCGTGACGACCGCCACCGCGGTGGTCGAACAAGTAGAAGATAATCAAATACCGGAAGTGACGAAGTGGTCGACCACCGAACCCACGGAAACTTGGGAAATCACTACGACTACGACGAGTACGACGACCACCACCACCACCACCACGAGCACCACGCCGAGCACCACCACGACCACCACCACGCCACCCCGTGAGTACTATCTTCAGTTTTTACTTCTTTTCTTCGATCTGACCGGTGACCAACATCTTCGTCCTCCATTCTTCTGTTCATAGAACAGTCAATCGGGTCTGAAATAATTGTTCAACGAAATAACATTCAAGCAAGGAAAGATCCACAAGAAAATCTCCCAAATTGATAGCGTTTAACGGTCCATTCTCAAACGGGAGAAACTCTTCGAATACTAGTACCACAGACGAGATATAAGAATAGACCTAACATGCAATGTAATTTTCTGTCCCTTGCTTCGGGGACGTCAGAAGCCCCCGTACCGTATCAGTAACACATTCCTTGCTAGCGAAACCGAAGCAATAATGTATGTATGTATTGCTGTATGTTATCACAGTGTCGAACGTAGTTCCTGAAATCGGAAACTTTTATGGAGAGGTGCGCTCGAACCAGCGTGATTTTCGTGGGACACGAAGTCCGAATAAGATGTTAGGTCTATTCTTATATCTCGTCTGTGCTTGTACGAAAATGACAAATTACAGAGGGTTAATAAATACTGTAAAGAATTCTAGCTTGAGCTTCTTTCACCGCGGTATTACAAACAACGACGAGAATCGAGACGCGACAACTGTCGATAGTTCGAACACGCCCTGTTCCGTAATTTGTCCGCGACAAGCACTTCCAGGCTATTCGTAGAATCGATAACGAGTATGCACAGTTACGTGTACGCGGAAGGGTGTTTGGAAAGCCGTAAAAGGGAAGGGTAGATGGGGGAAGGAAAAGAAAACTGAGGTGCGTACACACGCGGTGACACAGTATTTCGCGAATGGAAAATTCAGGCTCCTTTGATCGTTCTGTCCGAAACACAAGGAATTTTCGTAACGCCGCGGTGAGAAGCCGCGCGTCGAACGTTACAAAGCGAAGTGGCTTGGAAGCCGACTGAAAGAAGGATTCAAAACGTGGAAGAATCGTGGATCGCGGGTGGGATGGGGTGGGAGGGAGGAAACAAGGAAACAGTTCGCCGGGAAACGTGAAACACGCGTCTGAACATTTTCGTCTCTTTGTAGGCTTCTGCGTGGTTCAAAGGCTGAGGCAGAGTCACCAATACATAAGGGAGGGCAAAGGCAAGAGGGTGAGTCCGACAAGTTGCAAAGTATTTTCGCGACCGGCTGGCCGAAACTTGTTCTCTCGACCGGTCCAGACGCCCGTGGAATTCGTGAGAGAGTTGCGACGGAAAGTCCAGGGAGAGATCGGGAATAAAATCGCGATAAATGACAGAATCACGTTTCGAAATTAGAAGGTCCGACCGAGATCTCTTTTATGTATACATACACTCGTGCTCATAAGTATTAGGACACTTATTATAAGTGTTAGGTATCGAATATGCAGTAAATCTTACGAGGCATAAGATCATTATGGCAAGTCTGATAGAAATATTATTTAGGAGATATTAAACCTCGATGGGGAACGCTTGTGACGCTATGATGTAACAAACGTAGCCGAAAATATATGATTTTTACGGAACATCATATTTTCTTCGTACATACCAGGTGTCCTAATACTTACGAACGGTAACGTACGGACCTACATATTTCATCAGTGAACATCAGGGAAATTTACAAACCCCCGTGTACATCCTTTCTATGATTTTGAGGTTACAGTTTCCGTAATAATTAACGAACTATTTTGAAGCTCGCAGCATCTGTGTGCGTTAATTATTTTAAATATACATATAGGTAGTGCTACGAATTAAACTTTGATGTTCAAATTTAATTTCGTTCCTCGAGCGTATCGTTTTGAAAGCAATAAAAGCGAATTACTCGCTTGTTTTGCGGGTGTAAAAATGTGTTCTCTGTTAAAGTGAAGTTAATTGTCGGGGGGTTAAAATGAAGTAACAATTTCGTGTTGAGCGTTTGGAATTCAATGCCATTCTGTTCGATTATAAAACAATTACCGTTCATAAAATTACGAGGAACAAATATATTTTTCGGCTGTTGCTACATCGTACATCGCTGAATACGTAAAAGTAGGTTTTTAATTGGCGCCTATAGGGCGATTTTTCCGTGAACCCAGGCTATTCAGAATAGAATTTTTGTCCTCAGCAGCCATTTGATGCTCATTATCTTCCCGCTCCGTGCCCGTGAATTATAGATACCGTCGAATTGGAAACCGAAAAGTTTAAATTCAAATATCATAATTAACGTCGACGATAATTAATATTCAGCGAACGTATATCCGCGGGTGGTCATTCATCTTTAAAATATTTCGGTATACTCGGATTATATCGCGGTCTGTTGTTGCAATCGATTACAGAAAGGTGGAATACGCGGTGTGGCCATGGCATATACATTTGTTCTTCCGAGCGTATCCAGGAATCGCGAGGATTCAAATGAAAGTTTATAATTAACAACTCGTCCTATTGAAAAAAAAGAAACATCATTTCAACTCGAGGCGAATGGAAAATGTGGCTCTCCGATGCCCAATATAAATGATAAACCGTGAATATTTACGGAATACAGTAACTCCATTATCGAAACAGATGAACGCGTCTGCACGTATTGACGATTACTTCTGAAACTTTCTGGACTTTCGACCGTAATTCGATGTCGAAAAGGAAAAATAATATAATTTATATTTCATGTATAAGTCTCGTCGACTCGGTTGTGTTGATTCAACGAGAAACGGTGTCGCGTTACCGTGTCGACGGACAGAGCGGGTTTCTATGTTTTGAGAAGCAACCGGGAACGAGCCGCGAATTAACAGACCGGGCCCATTTCTAAACAGCTCTATCGCGACGACGAGCCGGAATGCTCGGAACTCTGCCAGTGCAGCGAGGGTGAAGTTTTGATCTGCAACACGATCTGCGTGGATTCGTCGCCCTGCCAGACGGACTTTGCCTTCTACAATCACGAGGCACCGGCGTATCAGGCGCATCGCGGACCCTGCCTCTGTTACAGCGGTCGTTTCATATGCATGCGGCCTTTACCCGGTGAATATACACCCCTCTTGACGCGTCAGTCCCTTTGAATGGCCCCGCGATCCGGCCGATAACCAGTTCGCTGGATAACACATGTTTCCAATTTGCAACTGACGTTAACAACGTGCGACCAGGCTGATTATGAATTAACACCAACAGATTTAATCGAGCGTGTTCTACATTTGTAAAAATTCACTTAATTTTGCTAGTTACGTGTACATTGCGAGAAATCATTTCCTCACGTATCGCCAATTTTGATCTTCGAACAGATTTAGGAAGAGATTTCATAAATTTGAATGGAGAAAATTTACAGAAATAATAGTTTATGTACATACGTAGGTAGTAGGGCACTGCCCTCCTTAAATTAATTATCGCTAACTGACATATTCAGACATCCGAGAAAAATAAGGTTTTATCATTTTCTTTCTGTCATCCTTGTTTTCCATCTTAGGCCATTTTAATGTAGGAAACGGTTTAAACCATATTTATCTTACTTTTTTACATGTATCTTGAACATAAATAATTCAGAGATAAACATAAGTCATAACTTAGGATTATCTAAGTTAGTAGATGTTACATAAAACAATATAAACTAGTAGAATCATTTGAAAACCAGTTAGGACAAATCGATATTAGGCTGTTTCTAGAGACCTAAAGAGCATGCAGGGAATTCTAGCTTTAACTAAAAAGTGAAAAGCATATGGGACTCCAAGTATTTCGAAAAATCTTGAAAAACGATAATTTGTTATATTGGGTATTTTACATAAGGAGGGCAGAGTACGAATATCTGTGTTTTGATTCGATTCATAGTGTTCTAAAAATTTTGTTTGAAGATTTTTAATTTTGATTCGCGAAGAACCGAAGCTGATCGAGGATTCGCGATTAATCGTTTCCGACTTGTCTCCGCAGATGCTTACTCTATACCGCACGGGGTTTTCATGTTCCTGGGATACAGCGAAAAGGACGAGAGCTTATTGCGACAGCACAATAATGTCACAGTCCTGGACGCGATCTCGTCCCTCGATAACTTTATGAGAGAAGAAGTTAATAATCAGGTAAGATATTCTGCCTACATCGCGTTATCCCATCGTAATTAATACCTTCACATTTTATACTTGTACTAAATTAAAAAACTTTCTGGCGCACAGTTAAGCTTTTCGTTCTTAAAAAAAATTAAAAATCTGACAGCAATTTCGAATGTAATAACTTGTATCCCCACAGACGCTCAAAAGTCTCTTCATGTTTTTTCAACTAATACGATCCAATTTCACGCCTCATTGGAATAATTAACATAAAACCATTCAGCACTGATCACTTCCGGTAGTTTACGGTGGAAAATTGCGTTGTTAATTTTCGATCATCCGTGGAACGTATTATCCCACCATTAGTAAAAGAGGTAACTGGAACTCGAAGCTACTGAGCAATAACCGATAATTACGTATTCACGTTGTCGGCGATTCCTCGACTCGATTCATTGATCAGAACGGCCAGTATACGCACGCTACCCGAAAAGGGGGAGGGGGGGGGGAGGTGTATTCGAGAACAGAAAAGCCCCGGAGGGTTTCATAAATCTGAATATAAAGCCAGTACGACGGGCGAAACTTAATAATCCGAGATAGTACTGTACGACGTCGAGACATGCACCCTTATATATATTTTTTTCTTCTGTTTCATTCACAGACAGTGTGCACGCTCTTCTTGTACAACGCGACCCGAGAGAACGTGATTGCAGTGGCGCGTCTCGGGACTGACAATCCGCCCCTAAATAGCAGCCAGGCTCAAAGTCTCCAGCAACTTCTGCGCGTCAAGGTGAGTAAATTGCAAATAGCTACGGCCCATCCCATGTTACCCTGAATTCGCATCAATTCTGATCTTATTTTCCGGGCAACTGGCCTCCTCCTGCCCCACCAATCCCTTGTAACTTCTCTCGCGGCGGTCCTCGTCTCCGCCTCTATTTAGACACTCGTCGCCAGCTGATACATAACGCGTTATTAAATTACGCGTCCCACCGTGAACGTAACTCGCCAGACCTGGCCTCGCCATCGTGAGTCTCCTCCGCCAGGCTCTCGAAAACTTTATCCTCGGGTCTGGAACCTTCCGCCAACCCTCTTGCTCGAGACTTTCGCAGGACTTATGTCGAACAACCTCGGGAACGGATGAATAGAGAATCATCTTCGTGTCCTGTAATTTTAAACGCTCGCGATTTTTAACGAGGACTAACAGAATCTTGGAGAACCGACGTGGATCTCTGGGCAAGCATGTTTGCGACATTTTGGACAGAATGGGAGTGGATTAAAAGTGGAAGAATGTTATGACTTTAAGGGGGGACCATGTTTGTGCGCGGTTATACATATTAGGAACAGAATCCCCGATGACCCGGGTTAACTACAGTTGGTCAGAGAATGTCGCTTTCTTCTACACGTGGTTTTGTCTGTGGTCTCTAAGTGCAGAGTTTAGACATACAGGAAGATTGCCGATTTCGGACCATCGCACAGTGTCCTCGTATAAAATTAAAAAACAGTGTTTGTCCTGGAGAAGTTGTTTTTATTTTTTCGCGGTTTTTGCAGTGGCGAAAGCAGAAGAAAAGAAGAAAAAAAAGCGAACGAAGGAAAGGGATCTCGCGTGTGCAGCGTCGATTCCGTTCGCGCGCGAAAAGGGCTGCGTGTTCACGCGAGCGTGTGCGTGCCACGCGCAGGAAGTGCGTGCAGTCTATCCACGGAGGCGATATCAAACTTTACAGAACTTTTCATTTCTCTCTCTCTCCCCGACTTTCTCCTTCTTTCTCTTGGTGGTTCTTCGAGGGGGAAAACGAGTCAGACGGGCGCGAACGCTTCTCCCCCAAGAATGCCCCGTGCCCCCTATCAGATCTCGCGACTCGGTTGATATCCAACCATGGAAGAATCGTCCGCGAATGAAAGAACTCGGAATTCCGTTTACTTCGAACCGTGATTACTGTCCCTCTTACATTTACTCGCATGATTTACGGAGCTTAAGTGCTCTCCTCGCGGTGACTAAAACTCGGCTCGATCTTTTAAACCCACCGTCAGAGTGGGGAGGGCTGTTTTATGACTTGGTTTCACGAGAAAAGTGAAATACGGAGGGGAAACGTCAATTAACGAAATAATATTTCCTTACTGAATTTATACGACTAGAGTACGCCGTTAAGACCTCGAAATAGAAAGCTATCCGAGACCGTGCTGGACAAGATTGTTCCCCGACGCTGTGTATTAATCGATAAATTGTTCAATGAACGATAGGAGTACCTAGTGGCCGGAAGTCGTAAATAAAAACTCGTCGAATCGAGTAACGATGTAGCGGATAGCGTTAGCAGCGATGAAAGTAGGATATATCTGTGAAAAATTGATAAACGCGCTGGATATATTCCGGAGCCACCGGGTTGGGAAAAATGCTGGGCAAACATTAAGCGACTGCGGGGGCTGAATTCTGCCATCGAAAATCCGTCTAATTCGTTCCACCGCATGAAACCGGAGGGATTGAAACGGCTGGCCGGCCGGTGTTCTCTGAATTCTGAACAAAAGCCGATCGACCGGGCAAAATAACACGCAATTACTCGCAAAAAACCCCCCCCCCCCCACACACACACACACCTTCACACAGATCGAAATTCTAGGGGAACCGTGCATGCATGGACTTTCGTTGGCGCACAAAAAAAAAAAGATTTATGAAAAACCCAGTTGTGAATTACAGTTCGGCAGCTTGGAAAGTTATTTCCGTCTTGAATAAATGATTTCCAGCCAGTGGATGCTTTTTAATTTTATTCGAATGCTTTGGGAATCGATGTCGATTGTGCCACGATATTAAATCACGAGAATATTACCAACGTATAAATCCGTATCCGTTGGTATTCAAGTAATTCCGAAGTTATCATTAACGAGATCCCAGGTTCATTGATTGAACCGAAATTATTATTTGCACGTGGATTATGAAACTAATATGTGGTGTGAAACTGATAACTGTATTCCACAAGCAAGCTTACATGCATATAGATTGGTTCATGAATCGATGTTCCTATAGGAACTCATTATAGCTTGTAATAATAAAAAAATATTTCGCATCACTCTGGTAAAGATTAGCATTGGAACTACCAGAGTCGTATGTATACTGAATTAAATTGTAGGTAATGATATCTTGATATCTATAATACATAATGAAACATAATATAGTATAATGCAAAATATGTAATCAACAAAAAGTCAACATAAATCCCATTAAAAAAGCCCTCTATGATTTTAGTAACAGTAAAACAAACATTTGAACATCCATCATTTTTCCGGGATTGGTTGTACCAGCGTTAAACAGACCTTTCAAACACTCATGAACCTAGAAGAGTGCATAATCTTTCAAATGAACCGAACGCTTGGAACGATCAGCTGATGTTTCCTCGCGGTGCAAGTTATTCGAATTTACCCATGGCCAATCTGTTCATTATCGGCGAACCGATTCCTGTCAGATCGTTTTCGGTTCTCGAAGACCGCGGTGCTTACATCCTTCCGGTTCCCTATGTCCTCCGTGTTCCACCGATGACCTCTAAAACAAACAATCTGGCCCGAATGCATTTCCCGCACGAACAAGGCGTGTCGGTGTCGACGGACGCGTACGCTTCAGGCACGGAGCGTCGAACATTTTGCGTCGGTCATACGAGCTCCCGCGGCGATTTCCAATTTGCGATTAAGCGCCGGCCGATTTGCAATTTGATGGAGGGATCACGGATTTGAATTGCCGCGCTCTGGCCCTCCCCCTCTCCCCGTCCTTCCTCCAGCAACGCCGCTCTTTTTATTTTCTCTCGCCATTCCCGTTTGTCCCTTCGACACCTCCTCCATGATCAGTCAATTTTTCGAGGCCGTCCGCTACTCCTAACCATTCCGCTATTGTCAAACAGCCCTGTGAAACTCTTCTTAATTAATATTCCGCCTCGATAATTACACGTTTCCGTCCTGCGGCTCTGTTTCCACAAGAAACCGTACGGACTGAACACCGTGGAGCGTATAAAATATTACGCATTATCGTTGATCGAGTAACGAGGAACCTGTAAAATTACGTCGGTCGGTGTTCCAAAAGATGGAACCTCTCACGTACACAGGGAGTGGTCGGTTCGCGATTGTTAAATCGCGTTAATTAACTACCGACGTGTTTCGAGAGCGAGAAGCGTATTTCGCGAGAGCCGCGCTGCTTGCTCGAAACGACCGCGGAATCGTCGCGCCGCGGCAGACTTCTCAATTTCCGCGTACTAACTACCCGCGGGGCTCGGTTTCTGGCCGCGCGTGAACCGGAAATTGGGAGAGCAAATTTTTGGCCGTGGGTCGAAGCAGTCGATTTCCGTGGCTCCAGATGGGGAAAACTAGAGACGATCCTTTTCGGCCTCGTAATTCGACGAACGATCGCGGAACCGATCGCGAAAGGAACTGAAACGAGTTCCAATTGAATTTACCGTATATGTATATGTATAGTATATACAGCATATACATATACATATATATATATATATATATATTTATTTATATATAGACTCCATTGATCCGTTTTAGTCAAATGGCTGGCCCGGATATCGCGTTATTGTTCGGTCCGCGATTCGGAACGCAACGCGGATACGCACTTGGCGGATTTTTTGTCTGGCCCCGGGGTTGCGGAAATGGTCGAACGAGCTTCTCCGGGCCGATTGAACTCGATTCGAAGCGATTATCGAATTTCATCGAGCCCTCTGATATGCGGATATTAGCTTACCCGCGTACAGTTTTCGGCAAAATATTTGCCCGAACCGATGATATTTCCAGCTATCTGAAACGATACGTATAAGAAGGTTAAATAACGTATAAGAAGGCGGCCGTCGTCGGTCTCTGCTGCGAAAAGGATAGAGGAAAAGATGCTCTCGCGACTTCGGGACGCTTTGACTGCGAACAGACAGGGCGTTTATTTGAGATCTTAATTAAGGAGAGTCGAGGCTGGCCACCGGCCAAACGGTAGCGATTAAAAAAGACGTGGAAGAGGAGACAGAGAGAGAGACAGAGAGAGAGAGAGAGAGAGAGAGAGAGAGAGAGAGAGAGAGAGATAAAAGAGAACGTAGATGTGAAGAAGAAATGTTGCAACGGATATCGCTGCAGGCGATTTTTAATGTTTTTCCTAAGCGACCCTGTACGTGCCGCGAATCTTCTTGGTCCGATCCACGGACGAAACGAAATTGTTCGAGGAGCGTAAAAACTGGCAGACGCACCAATCACGAGACGACCCCGAACAGTCCGACCGAAACTTTTTACCGTGTCTCTGATGGCCAGTTTCCAAGTTTTTACACGGCCCACGGACCGACTAACCCGATGAGATTTTCTCTGGAGGAGAGAATTTCCCCACGATTTTCGGCCCCGTGTCTCCTACGGTTCTCACGACCGCGTTACATCCGCCGCTAGTGGTAACAATTATTACAAATCCGTTCCCCGAGGTACCTGAAAGAGAATCCTTTTGGATCAGGATCATTCTGATCGTTGCGAAATATCGTGGTACCCATTTAGTAACATTCCGTGAACTATAAAGTATAATGATCTAATTTACGCAAATACATATTGATTTTTCTTTTCGTATGAATTTCCGCCTCAGGTTTCATTAGTGCAGAAAATTCTTCGATACAGTACGCCACATATCGAATCGGTGGAATAAATTTTCTGTTCGCCCATTTAGTGACCGTGTGATTACAATGCACCCCTTCTAAAACATAATCTTCATGGGCAAACATTCCGAGCATAACGTCAAACGTAGAGTTCGCATCCACAGAATCACAGAAGAACCAATTATGATATAAC